CACACCAAAAGCATGATCAAAGAAAGAAAGAAAAAACTGTTAAACTGTACTTCATTGAAATTAAGCTTTTGCTCTGCAAAAGACACTGTTGGGAGTATAAGAAGACAAGCCACAACTGAGAAAATCTTCACAAACCATGTGTCTGATAAAGGATTAGTATCCAAATAAACAAAGAAGTCTTAAAACTCAACAGTAAAAAAAAATAATAATAATTTATAAAAGAACTGAACAGATACCTACAAAGAAGATTTAAAATGTTAAATAAGCATATGAGAGAAAGCTCTGTATCACATGTCCTCAGAGATGCAAGTCAGAACAGCACAGGACACCCCAATCCCCGTGGAAAGGCCAGGCTCCAGAACACTGCCACCCCCATTGCAAGGAGGGTACGCAGCAACAGGAACTCTCACTTGCTGAAACACTGACATTTCCTGACTGGGGGCTGCAAATGAGGCCGCTGCTCAGGAAGACGATTTGGAACTTTCTTACAAAACTAAAGTTGCCATGGGTGCCAACAATCGTGCTCTTGGTATTTACTCACAGGAACTTAAAATCTGTGTCTACACATAGACCCACATGGCTGTTAACAGAGCTGTACTCATAGTTGCTGCTACCTTCAAGCAACCAAGACACCCTTCAGCAGGCAAGTGGATGACCTGTGGCAGAGCAGACAGGGGTGACAGCTAAAAAGAGCCGAGCTCAAGCCCTGCAGCCACGGAGGATCCCGAATGCCCATCACTAGGGAGAGAAGCCAGTCTAAAGGGCTCACCTGCAGGATTCCTGGGCACTATGTGGGAAAGGCTGCAAGGGGTCACGTTTCCAGGGTCAGGAGGGCGAGTGGAGGAACAGGAAGAGCTGGCGAAGGCATTCTGCCAGCTGCTGAGATGGTGGGTACATGTCCCACACATAGGGGCAGACCCACAGAAGGGTCCATACCAGCAGGAGGGCCCCAGGCACACCACGAACATGGGTCAATAACAAGGGTGGGTGGGAGACTGCGACCATGCCCCGGCAGCTGGGGCAGACTGCCAAGAGGCAAGGGGCACCAGGAGCGCTCTGTACTCTGCTCGTTTTTCTCTAGGAGCAGCTGTGTGAAAACATGGAGTCTCTCGAGAACCAGACTCCCAGGTGGTTCTCACCCACGGCCACCTCGCCCCTGTTCCAGGTGTATCCAAAGGCCTCCAGCCCAGGCTCCCTGCGCACTTCAAGCTGGGGCACTGTAGGTGACACAGAGAGGCATGTCAGAGTTTAAGCCCCACAGGCCAACACAGCTGGACCATGGACTGCGGAGCCCAGACTGCCCCAAGGGTTCAGTGGGTCAGCCCTGTGCTCCCCCAGTGTATGTGACCTCCAGAAGCTGTGATCTCCCCAGCCTCCAAGGCCACAGGAGCACAGCTTTGCCGACAGCAGCACTGCTCTCCGGGAGGTTGGCAGGTGGCTCTCCCTCCCTCACACAGCACTTGGGGGGCCAGGCCTCTGTCTTTTCCCGGACCAGAAGACCACAGGGCAGAGGCTGCAGCTGGCCTTGGTGGCAGAGCTGAGCAGGAGATGCACCAGCAGCATCTGGACGGTGACGTGGAAAGGTGGTGTCTGCAGGGGGAGGGGGACATCACTGAGGAGCCTTCAGCGTGTAGGGGCAGGAGAGGCCTGAGGACTCATGAAGCCCCCTCTGCATCTTCACGCCACGGCTACCATGCTGTGCCCTACATAGGGCTTCCCAGACCTTCCGCCCTTTCTCTGACTCCAGAGGACCCCAGTGGGGCAGACGCGAAGCAGGCAGAAGAAGAAACCCCCTCCACCCCATGGCACAGTCCCAGCCCGGTGCAGGGCCTGAGTAGGACAGGTCTGGAGAAGAGATCTGTAAAACTGAAGGAGGCCCAGCTTTCCCACACAGGATGCTGAGCTTCCGGAACCCATCATTCCACCCACCAGCCCGGGACTGCAGGTCTCAGGTGGTGCACAGTAGGCACAGTCTGGCTGGGCAAAGTGACGGGGTGACAAGCAACTTGTGAAGGTTGACACAGCGGGAGCCGCTTTATTACGGGACAGAGAAGTATATATACCCAACTAATGACACACAGCTTAACTTAATCAACATAAACTAGGTACAGCAGTCAACCAGTAAGGAATCCTCATCATCTTATGATGACACACAGCTTAACTTAATTGACATAATCTAGACACAGCAGTCAGTCATTAAGGAACCTCCATCATCTTAATGGCTCGCTGGGGTTACTTCTCAAACCACTCCTTCTGGCAAAGTGCCAGAGGCCATCTCGAATTGTCCGTGGCTCTCAACAGCCCGATGAGTGATTCCCTCAGCTGGGGTTAGTGTGGGAGCAGCCTGTGGCCCTGAGGTGGGAGCCCAGCCTGTGTCTGTGTCATCCGGTCACCTGAAGGGTACGAGGCACTGTGGAGGCTTCCCTGGCTGACCTTCGACTTAAGCTTCGAATCATCTTGAGCAGTAGGCCAAGCACACGGTAGGACCTGTGCTCCACAGCTCGAGCCCAGACACACTTGGGGCACAGGCCTCCACAGGGTCCCCAACATGGGGAAGCCTGAGGCACCAGGAACTGAGATGAGAATCAGAGGACCAAGCCCATGTTGACTAGCAGAAACCCAGAAGCACAACCCAGGTCCAAGCCCACCATGGCTGCCCACCACCAACCACTCCTGGCCTCTTGCTGGTTTCCACAGAATTCCACGGCTGGGATGGGGAAAGGACTGACAAGGTTCTCAACAGCCTAGATTTTTCATGGGTGTTTAGGGGAAGATGTAACTTAAAAAAAAAAAATAAAGGCTGATATCCAGGCTTTTAAAAGACAAAAAGAGAGGCAGAGGATAAATTTCTTTAAAGTTGCAAGTTGAAGATGGCCTTGGAGGCATGGGCACAATGAGGACCCTGCGGTCCTGCCCAGGAAGGAGCCCATGCAGAGTGTGACCTCAGAGTCACTTCCAGGAAGGTGCTTCCTGCCTTGGAGGTGCAAGGGGCCAGCACAGCATCCACTTTCCAGTGAGTGAAGGACACATCTTCCACTCTGGCGTACCCATGTGGCCCCAAGGGTCCCCAGATGAACCACCAGGTATATGGTTTCCGCTTCCAGGAGCCTCTCAGCAGATTTGATTCTGCTGGCTCAGCTCAGCCTCAGAAGCCTCCACAGCCACAGGTGGAGGTGCCAGAAGCCCGTGGTCCTGTGGGGGACCTCATGTCAGGAGGGAAGCCCTGAGCCTCCAGACACCTGTAGCGGAGGCACTGAGGGGAAGTGGCCAGAGCCAACCTGGGGGCAGGGAGGCAGGTCTCTGCTGGAACCAGGCCTGGCAGGGCCAGTGCATGGGGTCCCACCAGCAAGCACAGGTGGCCACCTCTCCACTGCTGCACCCCAGAGCACTGTGGCTCTGGAGGGGCCCGTGGAGAAGGCCTGAGAGTGAAGAAGGGGAGGGGTGGACGGAGCCTCTGCTGGGCATCCTTCCTGAGGTGTGCCAAGCCTGCTGCCGTGCACCGCTGACCCTGCTCCCCTCCATCAAAGTTCCTCTGCTCTCAGCCTCCTCCTGGGCAGCCACATTCCTACCCTGAGCTCTGGGGGCCCAGGGCTCCCCCTGCCCAAGGGGTTCCATCTGTTGGATACCCTTTCTCTGGTCCTTTACCTTGCCCCTTCACTAGTCTCAGAGATATTCAGCTAAGATCCCCCAGGAAAGATGAACCCTTCCTCACTCCTGTCTGCCTGTATCTCATCATTGTGACAATTACTTCTCTAGATATACCCACCAGCCAGGAGGAAGCCATCATCCCACCCACCCACTCACGGCAGGCCACCAGCACTAACCATTCTGACACTGCAGTGACCCTCTAGGTGGAAGAACAAGGGCTGCCATTTAGAAATGCTCCAACTTCATTGGTCTGCCCAGAAAAGTTTACCGTGGGACCAGGGTCCAAGCTTTCAGATCCTAAGCTACAAGCCTGAGGTCCAGGTCTTGTTTTCTCATATGGTTCCCCACCAGAAAGTCATGGATAGATGGAAAGATGGCAGACAGATAAGGGAGAGGTGTCGGTGGATTTACTGAGGGGATAGGAGGAGTCAAGTGAAAACGATGACCTTAATGAGATGAAAAGTTAAGAGCGAACCCAGGTAAAAGGTACAAGAGTGTGTTTTATACTGTTCGTACTGTTCTAACTTTTGTGTTTGAAACTGTTTCTGAATAAAATTCAAACAACAACGACGACAACAACGTTACCTGTTTTATTTCTCATCGCTAGTGCATCTCCACTCTCAGGGTCCTAACAGCTAGCGCTTTCCCTAGACTGACGGTCCCCAACGGCCAACAGGTCGCCTCACACCCACCTGCTCCTCATACCCACCTGGGGCTGCGGTTTGGGGAAGACTGGCTTCCTGGTTGGTTTCACAGTCGCACGGGGACGGGCCCATGTTCACCACGCGGGGCTCTGCAGCTTCCCTCTTTCCAGGCTGTCTGCTCCCCACCAAAACGCACTAGAGGTTTCTTCTTCGGTTAACCCAACGCGACTCCATGGCTCCTACGGCAGCTCACCCCCTAAACGGGCTTCCGGGCCGGTTTCTGGGGCGTCCTCGGGGTGCTAGGAAGGAGGGCACAGGTGGCTGCACAGCGCTCGCGGTTCTCGCGGAAGGTGCACCAGGCGCCGCGTCCTCCGGTTCCAGGTTCTCGCTTTTGGAGTCGGACAGGCGCGGGGGTCCCTCGCCCCGGGTGAGCATCCCTTTGCCCGCTCCCCACTACCGAAGGCGGCGGTCGGGGAGGCTCGGAGGGGCGCGGGGGCCCGGCGGGGAGAGGGGAAAGGCGGGAGGGGGGCGCGTGGCGGAGACCGAGGGGCCGCGAGCGGGACGCGGAGGCACGGTGGAGAGGGGCGGTGCGCTCCCGGTAGGGCGGGGGCGCAGGGGCCGGGGCGGGCCCAGGGGCGGGGACGGGGCGTGGGGCGGGGCACGAGGCAACCCGGGCGGGCGGCGCGGCCCGCGGGGACGGAGGTTCGGCGCCGCGCTCGGAGCAGTCTCGGAGCCCGTGTTGGGGCCAGCGCTGCTGCGGGCGCTCGGGACAGAGGCGGCGCCCTGAGCCCAGGATGAGGGCGCCCGCGCTGCTGACCTGCTGCTGCTGGCTGCTGGTCCCTGTGAGTGCGCCCTCCATCCCGACCGGGTCCCTCTGGCCGAGGCGGGTCCGGCGGCCGGCTGCGCGCACTTCAGGGTCTGGAGCGCAAGCCGCCGCAGGCCGGTCCGGGGTCCGGTTCCCTGGGGAGCCCCAACATTCCCTGTCAGCGTGTGGCGGTCCGGCTCCGGCTGGGGGAGATGCGCTGGCCCCTTCCCCTTCCCACCACGTCCCAGGTCTGCCGGAAGCGGGGTCCAGGCTCCTCTGTGGCCCCAGCAGACGAGCGGTCTGTGGCCTGGCGGTGCCACCGGGCGCTGGGGTCACCTGCGCCGGCCTCGCGTTCAGAGGGAGTTGCCTGGTTGCTTAATCCTCCCGTCCAGCTCCCTGGTCCTTGCTATCGGCGCGTATTTATTTTAGTGTGTGTCAGAAGAGATGTGGCGTGGCTAAGAAAGTTTCCTTTTGGAAATATTATGCTTTTTTTTAAAAGACCGCTGTGCGAAAAGATAAACTGCGGAGAAGTCTGCCAGATGAGTGAAGCACTACGTTATGTGGTTCCCGAGAATTCTTTCCTTTATTTGAAAGACTCTGCCCCCCCCCTTTGAGGTTTGACCCCTTTTCCTGCTTTCCTCTCCTAGGCGGAGAAGTGCGTGGCACGGTGGAGCTTTACCTCGGACAGACCCTGTCTGCAGAGCCACTCCCTCCAAGCTTGTGGCCGCGGGGGCTGGCTTGCCTAGGGAGAGCTGAACCGCTGATGGTCTTTAGTTCTCCCTGGGCCAGGAGCCCCACAATCCTTGGTCCCCAGAGAAGGCACAGCTGAGGGACCAGAACAAACCCCAACCCCAGCAACCCCAGGGCCAGGCTTGGGCCAAAAGCACCAGGGATTATCGTGGTGAATGCTGCTCTAACCCCCAGACTTCTCCAAATAGTCATTGCTCTGCCTGTTCCAGGAGTGTTGGATGTTGTAGTGCTTTCAGTGCCTTAAAATTTCTTCTTTTAAGTGGATATAATGTCCTTGATCCTGAAATTTGGACCTTTGACTTGTTTACATATGAAAACCCAGCATGTTTGAAGCCAGGGATTGCTGCGTTTGGCCCCTGGTAATAATCTGGTGAACCTAAGATGCTCAGATGTTCTCTGAACCAGGTGGACTTGGCAGCCGTGTCCAGCACAAGTTTCTCCTTTTAATTCTGTTAGGAAATCCTGATCCTGGCTGGAATTCTAGTTGGCCTGCATCAGTAGGAGGATAACTAACCATATAGCTGGATAAGAGTGTTTGATAAGAAAGAGAGAAAAGGAGATTGAGAGAGAGGCAGAAAGGCCTCCATGGCAGCCGGCAGCTCAGCCCAGCCGGCAATATGGGCACCTGCTGAATCCGACAGAGGAGAGAAAAAGAAGGTTGACTCTTTGTAAATTAGCCACCAAACATGTTCTGAACTGGGAGCCCTGTATTGTTCTGTCCTTGGCCTCTGGGTGGACAGCAGGAGTAACCACTTACATAGCATCTGTGGATCCTGTCATGGGTCCTAGATAAACCTGCTCATGTCTCTGTGGAGCCACACAGCCACAGTAGTGTGATGTTCACCCCCACCTCTCTTCTCCCAATCTTTCTGAAAGCCTCTTCACACCAAATTATAAAGTCAAAATTATTACAATTTTATCTGTATTCATAGGATTGTTTCAGATGTGACCATATCAGGGGTCTTCACAATGATCACAGAGTCAGCGCACAGTGCTTGGGTAGCAGGTGCATGGCCCCCAAGTGGTCTTATAAACAAACACACACTGGCTTGAACCAGCTGCAGGTGGAAGACCCTGATGTTGAGAGGTTGGTCTAAACATACGATGTAGTATGTTAATTTATTTTCCTGCTCAGAAAAAAATATTTTGCTAGGTTTTATGCTTGTTTTATAAACCATTACAAAGTAAAGAGTAAAGATTGTTTTTTCTAACAGCCATGCTGGGAAAACGAAGGTCACTACTTTTAAATGAATTTTACTTTGGAAGCAGTTTGGAACTGTAAGATTTTGGGTCATTCTTGCAGCGCTTTGCCCAGCTTTCCTCTTGTGCAATTTAAGTTACTTCTTTCTCTTTTAACCTTGAACAGGTGAACAGCATTCACCCAGAATGCCGATTTCATCTGGAAATACAGGAGGAAGAAACAAAATGTGCAGAGCTTCTCAGGACTCCGACAGACAAGCACACAGGTATGTGCAGGCACGGGAGGAGTCTGCTCCAGCCCCCTCTGGCTTCCTTGGGTGCTGAAGTCTGCCTGCGTCTGGAAGGCAGGTCCACTGTGCACTTTCTTGTGAGCCTCTGGCAGACTCTTGGGGACCAAGCTGGTGAGGTCTCCACACACTCCTTTATTCTTAACAGCACAAACTTTCAGGGTCTGAGATGACAGCAAGGGTTTCTGACCTCTGGTGGGCTTTGTCACCCTCTGCAAACAGCTCCGTCTTTCCATGGAGTGAGCATTTATCTGACTCCTTGATTTTTAAGATCTTAGTTAATCACAATGGTTTTGAACCAGTTAAGGATGGTGGAAACTTACCAGAAAGCAAACAGGAAAAGGGGGCTTTGTTTTCCTGCAAACAGACCTACTGCAAATGTCGTGGGCCTGCTAGTCCCCCTGATGGGCAGAAGGCTGCTGGATTCCGAGGACTCAGCCTGGGTGCCCCACAGGGGCCCGCAGCAAGACTCTGCGACGATTCCTATTGCCACATTAGCAAGCTCTTTGCCCTTGCTCTTTCTTGTTCTCCACTCTATGCCACGACTTTACCTCCCTCAAGAAAGAAAGTCAGAGTAAGATTCTGTTACAGCAGCTTTGTGTCCCACAGAGGGTCAGAGGTGAGCTCTCTTCTAGACCAGCACTGCCCAGTAGAATGGGGTACAGCCACGTGGGTAATCTGAATTTTTCAGTAACCACATTAAAATAAGTAAAAAGAAGCCCATGAGATTAATTTGAATACACATTTTATTTGCCTGAAGTATCCACTTGTGATTTCGACTCGTCATCCAGACAGAACTATCATGTTCACATTCTTCTGTGCCCCGAGTCTTAGACACCCAGGGTGCTTAGTGTGTTCAGCAGCACGTCACCATTGGGTCCCGTTTCAAGGTCGGAACCCCAGGCAGCTGGCAGCGCCCACACTGGTCAGTGCCGTTCTGATTGTTAAAACAGGCACCTTTGCCCTCCTGCCCTGGGCCTCTGCATCCACACTGGAGAGGGCCTCAGCTCCCGACTCTCCAGTGTCAGTGACCTGTGATTCCCAGGTGCCCTGCACTTCTGCTGGCCACATCCTCCAGGGTGTATGGTTGGACTCTGCCCAGAGAACCCATAGCACCTCCGCCCCACAGCTCCTGCTGAGGTCCAGCTTTGTGAGGAGCCACAAGCTGCCCGGGCAGCAGGCTGCACACCTGGCAAGCCGCTGCTGTGAGGCCTGCCTTCTCAGTAAGAGCTGCAGGGCTTGGAGGGTTCCAGAAGAGATTCTGAGAAGGCCCTTAGCAGCGTGTGTTATCGGGGTCTGGCTTTCCCCAAAGAAATGTGTGTCCGATTTGTCCAGCTTTCTGTTTTCAAAGGGTTTTCAGAAATGTAAACTTTATGTAAAATATTTCATTTTTTAAAAGTTTGGAAACAGTACATTAAATAAAAGTCGTGGGAACAGAGCAGACCTCTGTAGTCAGTACTGTCCAGGAGCCAGGGGCAGCTCCCGGCTTGGTGGCTGCAGCCCCTGCTGGCATCCCCTCTGAAAGCTAAGTCAGCACCCTGGAGAATACTCACAGGGCTCCTGCTCAGAGAGCCATGTGTGTCCTGGGCTCGCCTGGGCAGCATCTTGGCAGAGGGACAGGGCAGGTTCCATCAAGGCACGGTGGGGAATCTGCTCTCGGCTTTCCTGAAGTGACAGGTGTCTGCTTGAGCATCTGCATGTTCCGAAGCCTCGGATTTTCATTCCACCTTTCTGACTCACAAGTCAGCCGCCCTTGGGAGCAAAGCAGAGCTGACCCTAGGCCCGGCCGCCCTGCAGCTCTCTGCAGAGACGGCCTATGTCACAGTGCTTCATTTTACTCTTAGAAATGTGCATGGCTCAAATGCCAGGGATATAAATAGTAGTCAGTTACCAGGATGAAGATGCCGCAGGTGATGGGAACCAGAGCTGCAGGCAGCCAGGGCTGGGGAGGCGTTCTCCAGGGGCCGGGCCACAGGACAAGAGCACACTCAGGGTCAAAGGTGACACTGAGGTTCCAGGGAACTGTGGGAGCAACTGTTACAGCCTTAGGATTGAGGAATTGGTGCAAGAACACCAGAGTGAGGGGGAGAGCATTTCTAATGCTGGTGAGAGAATTCTGCAGTTCTGATGTGGAAATCTTCTTCTTTGTTACATGAAAACGCGTGTACCACACAGAGGCAAAGCCCAGTTTCAGTTCTGAGCTCTTTAAAAGCACTCTGGGCTGAAGAGCTGTGTGACCTCATCCTGATTCATCACTGAGTCCAACTTGATCTTGCCACTAGAGGACCAGGCACATCCAGGCCACAGACGCGAGCCCTGTGACTGAGGGAGCGCACCCCAGCCGGCGGGCAGGTGTCCTACGTGCAAGGCCGCCGGGGGCCCTCCTGCCCGCTCCTTGCATCTGGGCCAGTTGGTGTAGGCAGAGCAGATGCCTGCACTTTTGGGCCATCCCTCCCTGTGGCCATCCCTTCCTGTGCCATGAGTGGAGACCACAGCTGAGCCATGGTGGTCAGTATCCACTTAGGACCAATGAGGAAGGTGGTTCAAAACAAAAGGTGCAAAACCCACGTTGACCTGTCCGTCAGGAACCGTGTGGGGTTCGAGATTGCTCCCTACTGCAAACTGACAAGGTGGCAGCCACAGTTCCATAGACAGGCAGGGACATAAGATGAGACACAAGGCCAGAGGAGAGATGGCCCCCAGGGGCCCACATGCATGCCATGCATCTGTGTCACAGCCAAGGAGCCCAAGCCCAGGAAAGTCCAATGTCCACAGGAGGCTGCTGGCCAGCCTGCCAGCTGTGGCTCAGAGACAGAGTGCCTTGGCCACTGGGGAGACCAGAGGGAGACCGTCTTCCAAGGATGCTGGCTACAGGTCATCCTCAGAGGACGGCTTGGAACACAGGATAGTGCCTCTCCTCAGGACACCATGAAGGACTTGTCCACAAGCCAGAGCTGCCACTTCCCTGTTGGCTTTGAATGTCCTGCTTTTACTATCCAGGGATGCCCGGTGGTTACCTCAGTGACCATGGCTCACTGTGGTTTCTGGCCCTTCCACTACATTGACATTGAGGAAGAGATGGTGTCTTGTTTCCTGTTGTAGCTTCAAAATCTGATACAGCCTTTAAAGACAATTCAAAAGCTTTTGCTGAGGAATTAGTGAAAATTGTCACATTAGAAATCAAGTGTGCAGCGGGGGTGTAGCTCAGTGGTAAAGCAATTGCCTAATGTGCGTGAGGTTCTAGATTTGATCCCCAGCATCACCAAGTAAGAAAGAGCAGGGAAAAGTGAGAAAGGAGGAGGAGAAGGAAGAGGAGAAAATAAAGTAAGTAAGTGACACATGCACATAGTGAAAGACTGCTAAAATGCACATACGGTGCTGGAGCTCACGCCTGCAGACAAGTCCCGGGGCCATTCAGTCCTGTGGAAGTGCATTTCCTTTAGCCAGCCTCCTGCTCTCTTCTTCTGCTTCAGTTTTTCATCTGAACAGTGCATTTTGCAGACGGACCAGCCTTGGTCCCTGAGCTCTGCTTGAGAGCTGGGTGATATTCTATGGCATTCATTGGCCCCCACCAGGCTCCTGAGCTCTTGCCTAAGAGCTGACGCTATTTTGCTCCTACAAACAATGTCTCAGGACTGGTTTTTCATTGGAAAACAATATCCCAGCACTCGGGGGGGGGGGGGGGGGTGATTCCAAGCCATGGTTGAAGTTGCCACTGCTGCTTGTGGCCCTGTATCCTCACCTGAAGCCCCCCTTTCACGTCTGTGATGGTGGTACCCATGTTATACACTCAATGACACCCGCTTTTCTTCTGGCCCTTCCTTATGTCTCACTGTCACCGTGAATGCTCATCAGTATCCATGAATGGCTTCTCTCTCTAAAGTCCTGACAAATGTGCCTCCCTGGCGTGCTTCCTGCGCCCTGCCCAGCTGCGTGGTTGCTCTGGATCTTGGCTGTGGTGTGGTCTGGCCCTTCCTGGTCCTTGGAGACATCACGGTCTGACTGGTGTGAACCAGTAGTGGGTGGGGATCACGGCCTGTGCCTATGAGGGGTGGAGCCGGTGGAATGAGGACCGAGCCGCTGCCTCCTGGAGACATGGCGGCATGGCCTGCCACCGTCCGCCTCTTTCCTCCGTGTTTCATCGGCACAGGCTCCTGGGTGGGTCTGCAGAGGTGCACGGCTGGTCTGCGTTCTCTGTGTCGTTTTCAACAGATTTCTTTTCTGTACTTTTGCAGATCCGTGCCTAGACCTGTATGTTTAAATGATCAATGACTCTTTAATGATTTGGATTTCTGAACATGCCTTTAAATGTACTTCTCAGAGGAAAAAGAAAATTGCCTGAAATAAATTCTACCCTGAATAAGGTTCTCTATGGGCTCACCCCAGGAGTCTGTGGGGAGTAGTCGGAGGTGGGGCCTGGGAGCTGGTGGATGTGGCCATGCCTGGAAGGACAAAGCTGTGGATCTCAGGAGCTCCGGGAGAGGGCCTGGGTGACCCTGGTGCTGACTGGTCCCGGCAGCCTCCTCTGTGGCCCTCTGTCCCAGGAGAGAGCTCCCTGCTGACGGCCCCCAGCTGATGCCCGCCCTCCTGGCCTCAGCGTCCTGGCTCCTGGCTTCTCCAGCCTCCTCCAGTCCTGGGGTCTGGGCTTCCCTGGCTCTTCTCACAGCAGCCTGGCCTCCATCCTCAGAAGCTGATCCTTTCCCTGTTGCAGGCGGGGTGCCAGTGCCTTTGCTAGGTGACCAGCGAGATTCCAGCCAGCCAACTTCAAGGCTGCTGTGTGTGTGCCACCTCACATCCTGGCTTCCCAGCCACAACTGTGTGGCCCTGGTCTGGGGCCCCTCCTCTTCCCAGGGAGCAAGTGGAGGGGGCTCTGGGGCTCACAGGCCTGCACAGCCTCCGGAGTAGCATGCTCCACACCAGGCACAGCAGTGCACAGCTCTGCTCTACATGGCCAGGTGATGCCAGCTTCCCCCTGGCAG